TGTGCCTCTGGATTAGTTGTGCACAACAGTCCAGAAAGTCAGTGCTGGGCCCAGAGGGGTGGTACCTGCCGGCCTGTGGTTGCTGGCTGTTCTCTTCCGGTGTTCCTGCCACGGCTCCCTGGGCGTTCATGTAAAACTTATGTTGGCTTTGCCCTGCAGCTGTTACCTGACTAACCCCTACTGTCTCTGTCCCCTCCGGCCTGCTGTGACTTCACGCAGGGCATCAGAAAGTTCTCCTTGTCCGGGGCGTGACCGCTGTCTTTTATTCGCGTTTCCACCCCTGGCACAATAGGAGGCACTTGGTCAATGTTTGCGGGACAGATGCATACATACGAAGGTGGCCTCTCCTTTCTACTCGCCCACGCCCTGCCCAGCTGCTTCCTGCTGCCTTCACTCAAGAACATTCTCACGGGCGGCTCCTGTCAGCGAGCCAAGAGCTGTCTCTTTCAGGGGCTGGGGACAGTTCTTCCTTCACACTCGGTGCCAGTGGAAGGGCTGGCTTTCGGGACGTGTGTGGGGCTTGTACACACATGCGTTTGTGTGCGGGGGTCCTGGGAGAGTCCTGCTCACCGTAGCACAGCTCTGAACATGCGGACTGTTCCGCGGGTGCCGGCCTGGCAGCCTTTCCCGGGAGCAGCTGTGCTCCCAGGCAGACGTGACCCGGAACCGGGCAGCCCGCTCCATCCACAGCGGGTACAGCCCGGGCACCATCAAGCAGCAGCGCTCACTGTGCTGCCCGGCACAGGGGCCGGGATGAGCCTCCTGGGCCCTCCAGCCAGTGTCCTAGGCAGGACCCTCTGCGTTGTCAGTGACAGAAACCCAAATGGAAAAGGGTGAAAATAAAAGGGGAGGGAAGTAGGCTTTTAGGCACATATATTTGAAAAGTCCTGGGGTGTGCCAACGTAAAAAAAATGTCCAAACCTGTAAGGATTTTTGTGAATTTATGTGAGCCAAGCTGGTGACAATGGCTAGGAAGCAAAATCTCAATGAATTGAGAAAAGGCTCCGGAAAGTGGTTGTTTGACCACTTATTTTATACATCAGAATCAAGGCGGGAAAATACAGGCGTTACAGGAAATCCATTGGTGACAGATTAGGGAGGTGGGAAGAAAGCAAAGTGGGGGAATCTCTGGGGTTGGATAAAAATAAAACAAAGGGACACACTTCTTTTACATGGGTGGGTGCAGGAGAGTTGACAGTCAACAATTAACACGATCTCGCAATGACAATGAGGGGCTCTGTGGGCCCCTGCTGTGGTGGGAGCTTGTGCCCTGAGGGGTCTGGGGGGAAAAATGAGATCACCTAACACTCCCCAGGTATGTTATGTAGATGTAGAAAGACTATAGACAGGCTGTTGAGGTAAAGACTGACCTTTGTCATGAAAGGTACGGGCCTGGGCCTTGACTACCCACCACGCCTGCTTTTAGCTGGAGAGTTTCATTGCAGACCCTCCTGCGTGGTCACCGGAGGCTCACGCTGCAGGCCTCCCCTGTGCTTGTCAGCTTCAGCACGCGGCCCCCTTTGCGCCCACAGGTCGTATCGGTTTCAGCTGCAGCCGGATGCAAAGGCTCACGCGGTGCCCTGGGAAACCTCTCTCCCTCGCACCACTGGCTGGCTTCTTCCTGCCTCCTTCTCAGGCCAGCTGTCACGCCGGCCTTCTAGCCCATCCACTTAGCAGCCACCGCAGGAAGCCACCCTCTTCCACAGAAGGGACCCCCGAAGTCCTGGGCTGCCTCCCATCTTCCTAACTCAAGTCTTGTGGACACCCCCCCCCATCTTCCCCCCCCTCTCCCCCACCGCCATGTACGGTCACAGGGACCAATGGCTCAGGTTGATGTAAGTGCCCAGTCTGGAGTAGGGGTGCTGGGCAGGGTGAGAGCCAGTCGCACTGACCATGTGCACTGAGAGAGAGGAGCGGGGTGTTCCCCATGAAAAACCACCGGCTGTTGCCAGAGGAGAGGGATTGGCTGCAGGAGGCAGGATCCACACAGGCCCCGGCTGATGCTGAGTCTCCGGTGACACTTCAGGAAAGTCGCCCACATACAGACATGCGGAGCTGGGAATAATTTCCCCAAGCCAGGGAGAAAAGAAAGTGCCTGCTAAAGGGTACAGTGCACTCT